TTTTAAAAACATGTTTTAAAAAAATGTTTTCACATGCTACTGGGAAATAAGAAATACAGGAGATGGGGTATAGAAGTCTGTCCTGTCCTACAGGAAAATAGAAGGGGGGAGAGATAGAAGAGAGGACAGACTAGGGGAAGGGATATTGAGAATGCATGCCATCTTGGAGTGGAGGGAGGGGTGAGATGGGGCAAAAATTTGGAACTCAAAAACTTGTGGAAGTGAATGTTGAAAACTAAAAATAAATTTATATTAAAAAAACATTCAAAAATTAATTAATTAAAAAGATAAAAAAATAAAAAATTAAGCATTTTATTATAAAGAATTCTCCCTCACAAATGGCCAGAATGAGCCCTCTCTCTGTTCTCCCTCCCCATTCCTTCCCTGTCTTGCCTTCTCCCCAGCATCAGACTGTTGATACTTTACACTGAGAAAATAATTTTGCAATCTTCTCCCTCTTACTTGCTGGGAGACTTTAAAGTTTGGCCTGTCTGGCTTTGGAGAATCTCTGTTGAAGCAGCCCCCATTGCCCTGAGTGATACAGTCAAATGAAGGAGGAAGCTGCCGCTTCAATGAGACACTGCTTCTGTTGCTCAAATATTTTTGCAATTAGCAGTAATGATGGGGAACAGAAGTACTGGAGAGATTGGATCGCTTGGTTTTTGTGCCTTTCCTTTCAGAGTGAATGGCTCCAGAGGTGAGCAGAGGGCGTCAGTGGCTCTTTAAAAGACTGTTGGGCTTTGGAAACCTTCCTGCTCCTGGGTCTTGTTGAGGCTGCCCTGTCAGGAATGAATAGAACTAAAGTGGCTAGTTCTCAGGGGTTCATAATTTAAGGCACCAAGAGGCTTCATGTGTAGTGGAGAGGAAGGGGGCCTAGTGGGGGGTTGGGGGGAAGCAGAGAGGGCAAGAGGAGGCTTTCAGGCTTCCTCTTCCAGTTGCTTATTACCAGCTGCCAAGATGAGGCCTTCATTATAGGGATGATTTTATTATTTGATGAAGTTCTGTCAGGACTAGCTGAAACATTTCACTTGTGTCCATTCCCTCATCTCTAGTCACATGGGCATCACCCTAGTTAGGTCCTCATGACCTCTCACCTGGACTATTATAATAGCTTTCTAACTTGTCTTCTTGGCTACAGTGTCTCCTGCCTAATATGTCCTTTATGGCAGTCCAAGTAATACTCTTATTGTGGTAGTCAAGTCGCATTATTCCACTGCACAGAAACCTTCATTGGCTCTCTATTGTGGACTGAATAAAATGCTGTAGAAAAATATTTATTTAGGGGCAACTAGGTGGTGCAGAGGATAGAGCTCCGGCCTTGGAGTCAGAAGGACCTAAGTTCAAATCCAGCCTCAGACACATACTAGCTGTGTGACCCTGGGCAAGTCACTTAACCCCGATTGCCTCACCCAAAAAAAAAATCTTTATTTAGCCTGGTATTTAAGACACTACAATCTAACACAGTTCAGTGGAGAGGGAATTGGTTTTGGAGTCTGAAGAACTGGGTGAAAACTGCCACTCAGTATTAGTGTGATTGTGAGGAAATCATGTCACTACTCCAGGCCACAGTCTTGTCATCCATAAAACTAGAGGGTCAAACTAGATAAGTAGTGTTAAAATCAAATTGAAACAGAGGCCATTAATCCATACATGAGGATTCCTGATGGCTGCATATTTAAAATGTGATATTATCTGTGTTTCATTGTATTTTTATTTATTTTTAAAACTATTTCCCAATTACACAGTGCCATTTAGGTGGCATGGTTGTTAGAGTGCCAGGCCTGGAGTCAGGAAGACTCCTCTTCCTGGGTTCATATCTGGACTCAAAAACTTATTAGCCGTGTGACTCTGGGCAAGTCACTTCACCTTGTTTGCCTCAGAAGAAAATGGCAAATCACTCCAGTATTTTTGCCTAGAAAACCTCAAAAGGGGTCATGAAGAGTCAGATAACTGTCAAAAGACTGGAGAAAAATTACATTGTAATCTAATTTGAGCAGCACTCGTTAGTATTATGAGCCACATGTGTGTCTGGAACAGATCATCTCTAAGGCCTCTAAGTCTGTGATTCTACTATTCCAGCATTCTCTCACACAAATCTCCTTTATGTACTCAATACAGCTCATCTTGCCTGGAATCATTTCCTCTCACCCTCATCTGATGCAGGTCAAGGAGCCGCATCCTTCATTAACCTTTTCCTGATCTTCCTAGCTGATAATTACATCTTCTTCCTCCAGTTTATCATAGGATTCTTCATCCCTCCTTTGCATTTAATTCTTCCTCTACATTGTATTGGAGCTATTTATGTAAAAATCATATTTCCATATTAAATTGCAAGCTCCCCAAGGTCTGAGTCTGTTGTTTGTGTGCATGTGTTTAATCTTTGTATCCTCTTACTAGACCAGTTTCTTCCATATAGTAGATTCTTAATAAGTGTTATTAAAATGAACTTAATATTAGATTACCCAATTCCTTTTCAGTTTTAAGAAGATGAAATGCAATATGGTTGAATGGAAAGTCCTACACATAGATTCAAAGCATAAAGTACATGCAGACTGGATGGAGGAGATGTGACTAGAGAGCAGGCAGTTCATGTGAAAAAAGCTTTGGGGGGAGAGGGTTAGGATGCTTGATGCTCCATACTCTTAAGCAGGGTTTTGGTAGCAGTCGTGGTAACTCATGTGACCTCCATTAAAAGATATATAAAATCTTATGCACGTACACTTAGCCAGTACAAGGCAATGGTGAGGTGAGATGAGATGTGCTTTATAAACGAGGAGGCCTACAGAACGTATACAAATAAGGGGCAGTCTTAAATGCCTTGTGCTTTTTTGTCATTATAAAGGAATTAGGCTATTTTTATGAAATGTGCGAGGGGATAGCTTTCACTTCATCATGTACTATCACAGAGATATAGAAAATATGACATAGTCCTAGGTCGTTAAGAGCCTATAACCTATTGGGGAGATAAGAGATACATGTAACAAGATAACAAAAACTACCAGGTATATATAATGAGTGCTAAATGAATGATTCAGAAATCAATGGTACAACATCCACAGGAAGAAAAAAATCGTGGTGGGCTAGGTTGGCTTAAGAATGGATGAGTAAGCTAGGTATCAAAGTGGATAGAGTGGTGGAGTAAGGGAGACCTGAGCTCAAATCTATCCTCAAACAGTTACTAGCTAACTCTGGGTAAGTCACTTAGTTTCTCTCAGCCTTAGTTTCTTCATTTGCAAAATGGGGATAATAATAAGCCCCATGTCTCTGGCTTGTTATATCAAATGAGATATTTGTGAAATGCTTTGCAAACCTTAAAATATTATATAAATGTTAGCTATTTTTATCATTACTGTCTCTAATTATTATTAAATCCTTATTATAATTAATTACAATAAATAAATGGAGAGGAAGAAAAATGTTAGGGAATGGAATAAGCAAATATGCATAGGTGAGAAAGGATCAAGCATGCCTGGGAAATGGTGAGGAGAAGAATTTGACCAGATCCTACATTTCATATAGGAAGATAGGGATGAGAGAATATTGGGAAGGTAAGTTGAAGACAGGTTATGCACATGCCTTAAATGCCACTCTCAAATGTTTGTTGTTTAACCTATGGGTAATGAAGAGCCACTGAAGGATTTTTGAGTGAAAAACAATTTGACTAAAAAGATAATTTTTTAAAAATTTTTTTTAAAAATCAGAAACATTTTATTGAATGTATTTGAGGAGGTAAGAGAAAAAGTTACCATGGCTATTCATTCAATAAATTGAATATGTTTTTAACATATTCAAAAGATAGAACAATTGGTAGGCCATTTCATAGAACAGGCATGAGTTTATAAAACCTTGGATTAGGGTGACTATGGTTGAGTAGAAATGAAGGGATGGAAATGAGGAATTTTACAAAAGAAAAAGCAACATAGTTTGGCAATAGATTGGATATGGATGGCAAGAGAGGAAGGAGTCAAAAGCCACTTTGACGGTTTTAACTTGAGGTCTCTGGGAGAATAATTGGAAGCTAACTTTAGAGACAGGAAGATCTGGGGTCAAGTTCTGCTTCTTGTAGATATGGGTTAGAGGTGGAAGCTCAGAGATATTTTAACTTTTATTATTACTAATTTGAAAGTTTTTTTTAAAAATGGTTCTTGATAGCTTTCATTTCTTCATTTCTGAATTGCTTGTTCATATCCTTTCATAGTTATCTATTAGGGGAATGGTTCTTGAAGATTTTTTTTTCTTTCTGCAAAGTAAGTTAATTTCCTTTTGTTCCAGTGTCCATAAAAATGGAGAGGAAGTGATCATTGGGAGGAAGCATTTGTAGAAAAGATAGGGCTATGCTGTCCTTTCTATGATAAAATATTGCACATTCATGGAGGGCAAGTACTGGAAAGAATTCCTCTTGCTATTAAGGGTAGCAAGTCCTCACATTCTCCAAAGGAAAATCCCACCTACAATATTTTCTATATCACTCTGGACCTTAGTTTACTTATTTGTAAATGAGGGGTTGAGCTATATGATTTCTGGGGTCTTCTAGATCTAATAGTCTATAGTGCTATTGTATTATTCTAGCCAAGTTAGCTACTGGTGAATTCAAAGCTTTCCATATAAGCCATCTAGGTCACAGTGATTCCTCCCATCTTTAGACTCCTATTGCATTTATAATTGAGCCATTCAGTACTGATTCTCTAATTATTTCATGTGTATTAGCTTTGTATTCCCAATTAGATCCTTGGGGGAAGATCCGTATTTTATACTTCTTTTTATACCCCACAGAACCTAAAACCAAACTTGGAATCTAGCAGGAATTCAGTAAATAACTTGTTGATTGAAAGGGAGGGCAGGTTTTGAGTATTCAAACTTTCTAGTCTATTCTCCCTACCACCTTCTAGTTTTCATTTCATTTTCCAAGGAATTGTACACTGGGCATTTCTATAATGTTGCCTGCCTCTTGCCAGTTCTTTTGGCTTCTTCTTTATGGAAATGTTTTGTTTCTTGCACAGGTCCTTCTGAATTATTGGATATGACAGATAGTGAAACGTGAGTACTTGTCCAGCATTCTATGGCTTTTGGGTTTCTCTTTGGAATATGGTTGGGAAAATGAAGGAGAGAACAGTCTGTAGGGTCTGAAAGGGATGCTTAGATACTAAGTGTCCACTGCCTGCTCTTTTTAAATGTCCATGTACAAAGTCTACATTATGTTGTGAGAAGGTAGCATGTGTATCATGGGCTACCTGGGTTTAAATTCTACCCTGATATTTATTAGTAATGTGACCATAGGCAGGCCGTTTAACTTTCCGTGGCTCAGACAGTTCCCTAAAACTTATCCACTAAGTTATGGATGGGTTGGGATATATGTTGGTAGAGACAATTCCCATAAAATCACATATCCAAGACCTATTGTGAATACAGGTCTATTTGTCTATCTATGTTATGTACAGGTTTCCCTGTACATGTACGCAATGATACAATGATACACGCAAAGGTAGTGCAGTTCATTAGACTAGGAATCAGATGTCACTCCTGGCTTAGATGTTAATCTTTTTTGTATCCTGATCTGTCACATAATGCCCAGGACTGAGTTTCAACTAGCTAAGTATCATATACCCAACAGAGACAGAAACTTCTGGGCAGCGGTCTCTGTAGCTGAAATTGGGTCCAGATGGGATGCCCGCATGGAGAAATTAGGCAGAAATCTGAAAAAAGAAAGATGGCCTAAGCTAAACATTATTTCAGGGATAGAAATATAAGACAAGATGGATTTAAAGGGACACATTCATCTCAGCAGTCTCTGGATGCTGTAATTTGGGTTTTCTCTCATAAACCACATCTGTCAGCATACAAGCAGCCCAAAATCGAATCAGTGAATCACAGAATTTTTAGAGCTGGAAAGAACCTCAGAGATATGTTTTAACACCTATATTTTAATAGAGTGAAAATGTGGTATAGTAAGAAAAGGCATTGGTCTTAACCTTGGAATCTGGAGTACTTGGGTTTGAATCCTACCTGGAACATTGATTAATGAAATGATTCTGACAAATCATTCAAGCCCTGTGAGCCGCAGTTGATTTATCTGTAAAATCTGGGTAATAATAGCTCATTTCTGGAGAGTTAGAGCTGGAAGGGACTTAAGAAGCCATATAGTCTAAATCCCTAATTCTACAGATGAAGAAATAGCCCAGAGAGAATATGGGATTTGTCTAAGCTCAGACAGGTACTTAACAGTCAGAGATAGGATTTGAACACTTGTCCTCTGATGCCTGAACCTATGTTCTTTCCACTGGACTAAGCCAAGGTGACTTTTATAGTATCCATTACAACTTTCAAAGTGCTTTCACATGCATTATGTTCTTGGAGCCTCCCAATAACTCTGCTGCTTATTACATGGGCAACCATGGGCAAGTCATTTCTCCCCTTCAAGCTTCTGTTCCTTCATTTATAAAATGAGATCGGACCAGATTTTCCTTAAGATTCCTTCCAGCTCTAAAGCTGTGATTCTCATTTTATAGATGAGAGAGCAGAGGTCCAGAGAAATTAAGTGATTTATCCAGGGCAGCCAAGCGAATAAGTTCTAGACTTGTCAGAGCCAGAACCCTTCAATCCAGTGTCTCTGTACCTAGTCCAGTGGCTTTCTTTTGATACATTGCCTCCCTAGGAAACATGGATATTTGTTATTAATAAGGAAATAATAATAAATTTATGTAATAAACACATAAATTTTCAACCACTGGGCCCAGTTGACTAATACCATTTTGGAAAAAAAAGAGAGAGAGAAAGAGAGAGGCTGATGTTAGATATTGTGCCTGTTTGAGCTAGTCATAAAAGAAACCCTGTGGATTGACCAACTCACATGATTTTCAGCCTTCCCCAACTGTCATTTCACCACTTACAGTGACAGAGGACGGTTGAGAGCAGAATAACTGGAGCAAAGTAAGGTTTTCCCCTCCATGGTTAAAGTTCCTCACTGCAAGTTTCTTCTCTGGTCTTGATTTAGGGGAGAGACAGCATTGCATAAGGCTGCCTGCCAGCGGAACCGGGCTGTCTGCCAACTCCTGGTGGATGCAGGGGCATCTCTGAGAAAGAGAGATTCCAAGGTAACCTGATGAGTGAGTGGAAACATTCTCCTAGTTGGGCATGGCCACTGGCACCATAGCCTTCACTTGTGCACATAGCTAGGGCATCCTTTCTATGCTCATGGCAGTGCCTGTGGCTTTGGGAAAAAAAGGAGGAAAAAATAAAGTGCTTTATTTAGAGAAACTGCAGTTTAAATCTATAACAACAAAGAAAGGGTGTGTGTTTGCATAGGTACATTTATAAATCTCCATGTGTGCCTGGCTTTATTTTGGCTAGTCCTGGCAGCCAGGCTATGGGAGGAGAAGATATCCAATGTCCAAGTATGGAAATCAGGGTCATTCTAGTGGGGTGATGGCATGGGTATGGAGTACTGTTACCCTTCAGGGTTGTAGAAGGGAGCATGGGAAGGAAGGCAGAGGAATGCAACTCATCATTCAACCCAATATTTATGTGCTACAGTGTTCATGGTACCATACAATATGGCAGGGAGTTACAATAAGTGACATGGAATTTAAGTTTATTCAACATGCTCTTATTAAATGGCTGTTATGTGCAATATATTGTACAGTGGGTTGAAAAAGTGATCATCTCTTCCCTGAAGGACTTTATATTCTATTCATGTGTGTGTGTGTGTGTGTGTGTGTGTGGTGTGTGTGTGTGTGTGTGTGTAGAGAGGGATAGATAAAAAATAGACATAGATAAATAAATACAAAGTAAATCTTAGATGGGAACTGGGGGGAGATAAAATTCATTGGCCAAGAGAGTGGCCCAAATAGTGAAGGTCAATACTAAATAATAATCCCTGTGTGGTGATTTAAAAGGTTCAAGAGACTTAACTTCTGGGTAATGCAGTCGTTATATTAATAATGCCAGCATTTTAATCAAAGTTTGTTCATTTGGCTGTCTCTCTTAGACTAATGACAATCATGGAGGCAGGCTCATGGCTTATATGCCCTTTGGAAGAGGGATGTCCCTAGGGTGGCAGTCAACTCTGATTGGTTAACAGTTAATGAGAGAGTGAATATTGCAATGAGGGGCTGGACTTGAACTTTGATTATGTCATTTACTTCTAAGTTAGCCCCAGCCTTGGGCAATCTATTCAGAGAATTTATTCCAACACAAACCTAAGTGGAACTCAATGACTGCCCCATACGGGTGGGGTCTGAATAGAGTAAAAGGTTAGCTCAACGTTCAGAGACTAAGGTCTTGAAATAAGGATAAAAGAAAAAAGGGGAAATCTGAATCTCCCAGATCATTGGTTATTAATAATCGTTTCTCTCACCTTGCAAAAATGAGCAGTTAATTTTTTTTTTCAAAATGTTTGCCCATTTTTTATCCCTTTTGATTTCTATACTAATTCTATGAGCTAGGTGGAGTGTATGTTGTCATCTCTATTTTACAGGTGAGGAAAATGAGACATAGATTGAATTCCCAAAGTCACATGCATAACAGTGGTAGAGGTAGGGCCAGAAGCTAACTTTAGAGATTTCTAGATCCAGCAAAGTTAATATAGGGGAAATAGCACCGGATTTGAGTTCAGAGGACCTAGGTTTAAATCTAGTTGCTGTTTACTACCTGTGTGTGCTTGGGTAAGTCATGGAACCTCTTTGGGCTTCAAGCAACCACCTGTGAGTGTGTGACAACCTTCCAGCTCTAAATCCTTGATCCTCTAAAGCTTTTGAGGGAACAAGTTGAGTTTTTGTTTGCATTGTGGTAGTGAGTGTGGGGAAAATCTGGAATGTTGGGGTATTCATTGGTGGAAAGAAAGACCAGCATTCAGTAGCTCAAGCAGAGCTCTGGTCATCTAATGAGTTGTTAGATAGTTGAGGGAGAGTGCCAACCTGTGAAGGAGTACTGACCCTACCCTAAGTATGAGTGTGGCTATAAAAATGAGGTTGATTTCCTTATGTGGCTCATGACTATACAGTCGCACCTCATATATTGCAAACCCATTTTTTTTATAAGATATTAAAATGTGAGTGTGGACTCTTATTTGTCCTGTTGTGGGTGCAAAATGAAATGACTAAGGAAACAAAGATTTGAGCTTCTGAGCGTTTTGATTTATTAGGCTATACATATCAATTGCCTAAATTGAGACCAGGCCCCTTCCTCATTTAGAACTGGACCCCAAATACAGGAAGAGATGGATTTTTGTACATTAAAGATGATCAAATAAGGCCAGTTAATTAGAGGGAAACAGTTAACCAGGATATACCATTAGCTAATCTGATTTCTTATTGGAAGAAAGATTAGGAACTTTCCCAACTGGGAGAGAGTGAAGAGGTTCAATTCCCTGAAATCAGGAAAAGGTATCCCACTCCCTCCCAAGTGTCTGTGATTGAAGAAACATGGAAATAATAACTAACTGATCAGTATGGGGCCAGTTTTCAGATAAGACATGTGGATTACTTGAGATGTATAATGTGAGAAAACTCCATGCATCAATCTTCAGATCTGACTAGGTTTCTGGTCAGCATAACTTAGGTCCTTAGTTAAAGGTCTCTAACCAATAGGTGGGGGTGGTCTAGCTTCCCAGCCATGCAGGGCTAGGTTCAAACAATGCAATAAAATTTTCTCACTGTTCCCACAATTGAATAAAGTTTTCTCACAGGACAGAAATTGGACTGGACCCATAACTGAATAGAAAGGGAACTGAACTAGCTCCAGAATTGAGTCACATGGTGGAGTCAGTGTGGTTCACTCAATTCCTACTACCACTTGCTGCTCCAATCTCCTCCATTCCCTCAGTCCTTTTCTAGAAATGTGGGTTTTATACATGCTGCTATTTTACTGAAAGGACGACAGGGCTAAGAAATGAAGCTGTGACCTTCATGACATCTTGTGAGTAGGAAGTTATAAAAGACAGGGATGAAGAGCAAAAAAGAGCCATTGTATTAGAGACATGAAATCAGCATATTGGATGAGATAGTTAAGGTTGAGCTGTCATCAGAAAAGAAGAAACTCAGTAGAACCAACCAGGAATTATGTACCCAGAAAAGAGAGACACAAGTTCAGAAAGAAGAGATGCTTGGTCAAAGCTGCCAGCTGAAGCTTAAAGGAAGATAAAACCACTGAGGTGGGGTTCAGATGGTTATAGGGAGAGAAGATTTGGCATAGGACAAATAGGAATCATAAAGGAAACACTGAGTAAGTGCATTTGGGTTTTAGTTGTTAGATGATGAAAAAGAGAGATAGAAACCTAGCAAAACTAAATTGAGTGTAGGTAATGAAGCTGGGTCTTTGCCTTCCTGTAATATATGCAGTTTGCACCTTGAGATCTCTGTGTGTCTATATCGAAGGAACTCTATACTTTGGCAAATGGAGTGTGTCCTGTACTGAGGATATAGTAGAAGGGCACAGAGATAGACACTAAAGGAGAAGTGTCACAGTCCCAAGGATTCAAACAAAAAAGAAAAAAAAATCCCCATTTTTGGTTGTAGTGTAGACCCAGATTACTCATAGTGAAAATATGCAGGGAGCCCTCTGATTCAGGGTTACCTTGGGCCCATTTTGTCAGCGTACCTTTAGCTGTTTAAATTTCCCAATACCCAAAATAAGAGTTGAGAGAGGGGTGGTGCCTGCAAGTACTAAACTGTGTTGAAGGGAAGAAAGTAATAATGAAGAGCTTCAAAGAGGAGATACTACATAAGGCAAGTACATTTCTGAAAGATGTATACTTAGGCAAAGATAGCATTGGGCAATATTAAGGAGTGGGCTGAATTGGTTTCCACTGCTGCTCGTCATCTACTCTGAGTCCTCCTCCTCCTCCGTTTTGGTGCAAGTTTCTGTCGGAGGTGGTATGGTATAGCAGGAAGAGCAATGGCTTTAGAGGCAAAGGAACGAGGTTCAGATCTCTGCTTTGTCCCTCATCACTTGCATCACCATAGGCAAGTCCCTTAATCTTCTTGGGTCTTACTTTTTCCATCTGTAAGTTGAGGGTGGTTGGGCTAGATGGCCATAAAGGTCCCTTCCAGATCTAGATCTATGATTCTATTGCTCTCTCTCCCTATTTCTCCCTTCCAGTACTCACGTGATTAGATAGATGTCCAGTGTTACTTGATTCAGGTATTATACTCTGATCTTTACTAGTAATGCTCTGGATCTTTTCTTCTCCATATGAAGTCATTAAGTCAACTCAAGAAGCATTTATTAAGCACCTGCTATGTACCAGACAATTTGTTCCCTCAGAGCTCTGCTATGTTGCTAGTTGGGTCTGATCCACCAAATTAAGATTAAATTGCTAATGGTAGATAATTCCTCTCAGATAACATTTGTATCCAGGACTCTTCATCCTTTATTATATTTTTATTATGATTAAGGTTAAGAAAAATAAACAAGTAAAAGAGAAAGGATAAATAGCCCCTTGCCAGCTGCTTCCTTTTCCTGTATATTCAAAAACCTCTTGGACAACCCTTGTACTACACTGGGGCTGCCTTCTCTCCCTTTTATAGTTAACAAAGCATAGCAGCAGGTTCTTTTCGGTTGAGGCACCAAATTATCAGTCATGGTCTTATCTTGGCATTGACTAAAGAAAAAAAAAACAAAACTCCAACAACCCGGAGTGTCTGAGTGTGTAAGGAATGTTCTAGAAAACCTTAAAATCAGCAGAGAAAACTCTTATTTATTCGTTCTTCTATGATAGTATTCATCCCCCTTAGTTTTGGCTTGTTCCTTCAGAAAGCTACTAACATTCACTTTGTGAACAGCCACTGTGTGTGAAGTTCTGTTCTTGTGTGTACCTCTGATATCCTACCTTTTGTGCTTGTGTCTTTTTCTTCCCATCTGCAACCCACAGGGCAAGACCCCTCAAGACAGAGCCCAGCAGGCTGGGGACCCAGATCTGGCTTCATATCTAGAGAGTCGTCAAAGCTACAAGATCTTAACCCATGAAGACTTAGAGACTGCAGTTTGACTCAGGTAGAAGGAAGAAGGGAACTCTGGTGAGAATACCGACAATGCCCCTTGGCAATCTGGCTTGCTCCTGCAGAAGAAACTGATGGAATCAATGTGTCTATCTTTATCATGCAAGATATCTATCTGAGGACATGCCACCAGTTTCTAAGGGCTACTGAGATGCACCACAGAATACAATAGCCCCAGGGAATGAGGCAGGATTCATGGAGGTTTGTGGAATACCCGGTCCACAAAATTTGATCCTTATTGCTTCCAGCAAGTAGCATGAACTTCTGTGTTCACCTGTATAATTGATTTTAAAGTCAGAAAGGATGTTCCTATAAATGGCACTGCTCCTCTTCCCCTTCTGCACAGAGTGGCCCCCTACATCCACACAGCCCTACTACTATCCATCGATTGGTTTTAAATGAAAAGGATGTCTGTTCTCTTAACAATTGGGCTTCACAGCTAGTGTGGTTTCTGGAAGGACTTTCAAGGAGCTCTGGATGGCCCACAAAAACATGACTCTGCTTCAGTTTCCTATGACTAAATTCATCTAAAATATTTAGTGACTAGGGAGCGTTTTCCCTTTTTTGCATGGGTTCCTCTCTTTCTTTTCCATCTTATGGGAACTGAGAAGTACCTTATGGAAGATGTCAACGGGTGTCAGAATTGAGTCCTGATAAATCTCTGAGCTATAGTGAGGTAACATGGGAACATGTGGATTTGATTATGTGGTCACTGAGCAGGACTTGAGGTACCTTGCTAAGGCACCCAAAGTGGTAGATTGGGGTTCCTGGTCTCTGCCCATGGCAACAAAAGAATGGTTCAGCTTGGGCTTTTTTAATATCTGAGTACTGCCTATGTGTAGCCATTTTTGCCTTCTGGTGCAATGGAATTGGAGGATGGATGGAACAAAGGCAGTCAGACTGTTGGCACAGCTCCCTACTTCTAAGAGCTATGGCAAAAAAAAAGAATTAAAAAAAAAAGCAGACAATCATGAGTTTGGGCACAGGGAATGGAATATTGTGGCCGAATTTATTTCCAGACATTTCTGAGAGTAGAGAACAGGCCTGTTTCATGGAGAGGCTTGGCATAAAACACTGAATTTCTAAGAAGACCCATTTAAGCAAAATGGCAGCCATTGGCCTTCTAACCAGTGCTACCCTAACCTACCATCTTGAGTACAGCTGTCTTAGGGAGCCTGCTGCTAGGTGTCTCCTCCAGCTTTTAGGTTCTTTTAATCACTCTATTCTGAACATATTGTCCCCAAGATGAGAGAACTACAGCCTCTGCACCTTCTACTTCTGTTTTGCCGCCACAATTTGGCAATATCCAAGTTCCTTTACAATTGACTCTCTACCACACTGATGTCAGGTACCAATGTTACATCTTTAGCTCCCTTGGCTCAGTGTTGGCACCATTAACAACATCATTTAGCAGGGGAAAAGAAGCATTTTGCATCCCCTTTTCTTCTTTCTCTTTCCCACAACCTACCATTGAAGAGATCTTAGAAGGAAGATGCATGACAGTGTTGCTTTCATCAGTGGAGTAGGGCTGTTCCATCTCTACCACCTCAGCTCATACTGCACACACAGGTCTCTGTGAGTTTGTACTGACCAGGATCTTAGTGCTCATTAGAGCTCATAAAAATGCCCCTGGCGTTAGGGCAAACAATCTTGGCTTTGCTTCTGTGCAAGCTGCAGAGATGGAATGTTTATAATTCCTTTACTGGGTGTGCAAAGACTTTGCTATTGCCTAAAGTGACCCTGTCTTAGTCTTCATACCATCCCCTCTCATTGGACATGAATAAAGTGTTTTCCTAGTGTTTCTGCATGTGAACTTAAATGATCGTCTTTCTATTTTTAACTTACAGGTCCAGTGGTGATGCATTGATCCACTGGTTATTTGAATCACATTTTGATTATATATCACAATTTTCAAGTACAGATTAGATACACTATTTAAAATAGGGGTTATCCCAAACTAGTTGGTGATTATAACCTCAATCTCCCCAGTCACTTCAAATTTGCATCATTGACATTATTTCAGCTGTGGAAGAAAAAGGCAGGTGGTGAATGATCTATTTCTACACATCAGCCTTCAGAAATGGACACTGGGGAGAGGTGAATGGAGAAACTATAGTGGATTATTTCCAGAAGCTGGGGAAAAAAAAGTTATACCCCAGAAGAATTTAATCCCTGGTGCTTCTCTGCTGGAAAATTTTCAGTTGGTAAGTCTGTCAGGAAGAAGTAGTGATGAAAAATCCAATCCAATCATAAAACCAGTTTTGAATCTGGCTTTAGAGGATTCACTTGGCAATGCAGTTGCTCCCATAGCTAGCTGTGCTCTGTGTGTGTATGCACGTGTGTGTGTGTGTGTGTGTGTGTGTGTGTGTATGTGTGTTTTCATGGCTGTGGTGAGGGAGAAACTTCATTTCTGAGCACTGAGGGTCTTGAACTTTTCCATGAGTCCCCCCAAACTGCTCCTACAGATGTAAAAGGTACAAGTGACTACAGGCAGCCCCAGTTGTAGGAGGAAAGAAGTTCCTATGGTGAAGACTGGATGATGTATTGACTACTGGGGGACCCTGGGCCGTTTAGAAACTGTTCTCTATGCAAATAAAGGTATGAGGATTCCACCTTACATAGTTGAGGAGTTTTTTTTCTAAAGATATACACTGAGACTTAGGCTTTCCAAGCATGCATGTAAGAAAGCCCCAATCTTAATATGACTGAATCATTAAATTAACCTCCAGTCGCACATTTTGATTTATTTCATTGGTATAGGAAGTTCTGCACTGGGAACTTCCTCTGCCAATGCAAGCTGACCCCTTCTCTACAATATATAGTCTTACATAGATGAATAGAGAACTGAGAAATTACGTTGCTTGTCTAGAGTTGCATAAACAGTATGCATCAGAGTCAGACTTTGAATTCAGTTCTTCCTTGCTCCAAAACCAGCTCTCTGCTTCACCATGCTGTCTCAAACCTTCTGTAGCATTTCTTCATTTGGACAAATGAGTGTGACATAGTACAATCAAACCTAACCATTCAAGAGTTTACTACTCACTGTCTCAGCATCTGCATTCTCTGGGCTAGTATATGTGCCAAATACACAGGCAAAACCAACTTTAAGTGGAAACCCACCTGAAGCTTAATTTAAAAGACACATACCAGGGGGCAGCTAGATGGCACAGTGGATAGAGCACTGGCCCTGAAGTCAGGAGGACCTGAGTTCAAATCCAGCCTCAGACCAAACACTTGACACTTAGTAGCTGTGTGACCCTGGGCAAGTCACTTAACCCCAATTGCCTAAAAATTAAAAAAAAAAAAAAAGAAAAGCACACATCTATGAAAATGATGTTTTCCCAAAAGTGTAGAGACAAGTCTGCCAGATGGTTCCATATGCTAGTGGTATCACTTTGTGGTCTGTGTTCTAAGAGTCTTTCCTGTGGTGGCCTTAGCTCGTAGGTTCCATTTTTAGCTTGCACTGATAGGGAGTTGAAAAATGGGCTGTCCTTATTCAAACACAACTGTGAAGTGATATTAGCTATTCTTGCAGCTTATTGAACATTTAAGAAATAGAACCCAAGGACGCTGTGCTTTTTCCCGTCTCTAGGGACATGATAAAGGACAGAGCTGAGTGAGCAGGCCTGCAAGGAGGAAGTAGACATAGTAGGCAGAGCATTTTCAATGGAAAGTTCTGTTTACCTACCTAAGTGATGAGAAGCCTGGAACAAAAGCCTGCCTTCAAACTGATAGCTTCTCTGGCCGCATTGAAACAAATTGACAATATCATTGCTCTCAGACCTTGCCTGATAACTTGATTTGCTGCTGAGCCAGATATGTTTGTGTTATGAGAACTTTTGTATATTATTCGGATCTGGAAGGGATGACTTTACCTACAGCATTGCTGAAACTAATTCACTAGAAGCCTTGCAATACCCGTATCTGAGACATGTGGAGTTTCAGCCTGTACTGATTTCGAAAATAAATGAAAAGGCCATAATGAAGTGAAGATGTTACTAGTGGTGGATGGCATTGCCTTGGTTATGGCATCGAAGGCAAACAGCTAAGCTTCTAATATGTGTAGTTGAATTAGAGACTAACATGCTTTTCTATTTAGTTATGACACTTAAAAATATATTAAAATGACTAATTATAACCATCACATAGTGCTACTTTATTTAGAGTATTAAAAATTTACAGCAAGATACAGAGAAATACAAACACCCAAGTACAATTTAATACCTTTCTCACCATGTACTAATTGTTCTGTCTTATAGCTTGATCCAAACTTCATTTTCCTCAGGCCTGAGCACAACTAAATCACCCCAAATCTCTACTTGAATTTAGAAACTCTTAGAGATTGTCCATCGCTCAAGTACCTTTGGCTAACTAACTTTTCTTTGTATCAAACCTCTTTTCAGGTGGCTTCCCTCCAGTGTGTGATCTTCTGTCTATTGGGAGACCCCAAAACAATTGTTTACACCTTAAAACTTAGAGAGTGGTGCCTCTTCATCTCAGTCCAAACTATTCACACTGTTTGGCCTATTAATTAAAGGAGGGACAGGCCTAGCTGACCTTTTTGACATCCCTAGTTATAGAGAAGATGCTTACTGTGCTCTGTTATGTCTTATCTCACCACATAACAAAGCAGAAAGAGAAGTCAAAGTTATATGATCCAGTGATCCCATGATCATTTTTTCCTAATCACTCATTTTCTGGTCACCCAACTCCTGAGTCTAAGCCCCTACTCTCATATCTATCAAAGTGCTTACCAATAAATATGCAGCTGAAGTGTCCCTTGGAATCTATCATTTACAAAGTCAATTTATCTCAGCTCCCTTATGCAGGTTACTTTCTGTTCAAGGACATAAGTTACTAATCAATGCAGAACATAATTTTGAAAACATCTAAGAAGAACATAACTTTCTAGAGATATAATTTTTCCCTTACAGCTTATATCAGTGATAAGCTATACACAAAATGTTTTAATGTCCAATCAGTTGATCAATCAACAAACATTTATTATGTGCTTATATGCCAGGTAAAAGGTCAAGTGCCATATCTACGTATCACCTTCAGTTAAAAGAAAGCAGTTATTTTCAGTATAAAATTAATTTCACTTGCATGCTTAATCTGCATGATTACCTGAGGTATCAGTAATCTCTTATTATAGCTGTGGCTTCCAAAGAAAACTCAGAGGATAAAAAAGACAGTTTCTTCAAGAGAAAACTTCCTATTCTTTTCACTCCCCAAATTAGATGACTTCCTTTGTTTCAAGAGGATGGCTGACTACTAATGTGATGAATGTTTTTGGCTGTAACTTTGCATGAAATAGAAAAAATACAACAGTTCTGTATTTAATGCAGTACCAGGCACATAGTAGGTGCTTACTAGATGTTGATTGAATTGAATTGAATTGAGTCTTCCACAGCTCCAAATTAAATCAAACCCATTTATGAAAGTATGAAACAATCAACAAATGCCTAATATATATTATAGCACTTTACTCAGTGTTTTGGGTGAACCAGAAAAAGTAGAAGACGTGGTCACCGTCCCAGGGAGTTAGTTGGGGAGATTTTTCTACATGAGAAAGTTAGCAGTTATAATTCCTACAGATACAACAGCATAATTCCTACCAAAAGTGAATGATTTTTCCTGTGTCTTGCCTCAAGGTGCATCACTGGGGCATGGTATAGCTAAACCTGGGTGCCATCTGCCGTCACCTCATGACCATGGTGCTGCTCTCCCAGGCAGCAGCCATGCCTGCTTGAAAAGATTGCTTCCTCATTGAGACTACCTTTCCACATCCCTCTAGGCCACAGTGCTCCTTAACCCATATCCTTCTTTGTCCTCTAGTATGTCAGAGGTGAGACTTAAACTCAAGTTTTCCTGGCTCCGAGACTAACTCTTATCCACTATGCCACACTACCTCTCTAAGACTGCCATCTGAACTACAAATGTCAAGAGGAGGGGAAGAACACAAAGGCTGGAGTAGTGAGGGAAGGGACTGGTCATTGTGCTATTTCAGAATAAGTGAGATGGAACTAAATTACTTTATGGTCTTTCATGCTAAACAGAGAATAGATTTGGCAAAGTATGATATAGGGAGCTGTTGAATGTGTCTGTTCAGTTCATCAATATGCAAGCTGAGTGGGAATGGGACATGATTCATACTAGAGAAACCACCTAGAAGTAGTACAAGAATGAGCTAATGAGGTCCTGAACTGAGGTGGTAGCATTGGGAATGGAGAGGAAGAGATGGATATCAGATAGGTTTCAAAGAAGAAATCAGTAGTATTCATTGACTAACCTTAAGAGGATAGAGAAAATAATAGGTTGAAGATGATTCTCCAAGGATTCAATCTTAGGTCCCTGGGATTAAGAGAGAGAGATTTGGAGATCTCAGTTTTGAAAAATGAATGTTTTAGGGGACTTTATAAGTTTAATTGTAAGCATGCTCAGTTTATGATAACAAGATACCCAAGTATAAATGTCTCATAAGCAGCTGAAGATAAGGGATTGGAGTTTGGGTAAGGGGAAAGCCTAGAAATATGGAATTGGTGGGAATCAGCATGAAGGGGTATGAATACATATACATATACACATGTGTGTATGTGTGTGGAGTGGGAGAGAGAGAGAGAGAGAGAGAGAGAGAGAGAGAGAGAGAGAGAGACAGAGAGAGAGACAGAGAGAGAGAAAGAGAGAGAGAGAGAGAGAGAGAGAGAGAGAGAGAGAGAGAGAGAGAGAGAGAGAAGCAAGGAGAAAGCCAAGAACTGAACCTTTGGGAATTGCTATAACAACATGAAAGGAGAAACAAAAGCAAAGCAGGAAATAGAACAGCAATTGGAGAAATAGGAAGAAAGTAAGGGCAGAGTAGAGAAAAAGGAAGATGAAGAATCAAATTCAGCAGAGATGTCAAGGAAAATGAATGTATGTTCTATTCTACTTATATTTTAAAAATCATCCTACCATACCTCAAAACTTGCGTAGCTACCTCCTTCATCAAGCATTCACACAAACTGCAAATAGGTCTTATGCTTTTTGAAACTTTGATGTTGGTGAATCTGTGATTTCAAAAGTATGAACATTCCTCTCAATGGGTAGAAATCACAAGTTTTCCACACCCTTTAATCCAGTGTGATTTTCATCCATTTCTCATGTCCTT